CCGATAAGCTCCAGGGAGCCTCCGGGGCTCACCCAGAAAATGGCGTTTCATTACATTCAACGCTGGTTTTTTAGGTCCAGATAGATGCAGTCAACCCAACCATCTCTTTCCTGTAATATCTCTGTGGCTCGATCATAGAAACTGAGTAAATTCGATACACAGGATCTTCCAGATCGAAAACCATACTGTCTGTCTGATATTATATCATTTCTCTCTAGGTGTTCTACCCATTTAGTTTTGATTAGTTTTTCCAATACTTTCACTATTACACTTGTCAATGATACAGGTCTATAATTGAGGGGGTCTTCCCTGCTGCCACTTTTGTAGATTGGAACTATGTTAGCCTGTTTCCACCCGTCTGCTACGATTCCTGTACACAGGGATGCCTGAAAGATCAGGTGAAGTGGAATGCTGAGCTCAGATGCACATTGTGCATAGTTGTGTTACATAGCCTGTCCTTATCAACCCTGTCGATTCCCTTGGGTATCTTGAATGTGGTGATCAGGTCTCCCCTCACTTCATCTTCCAGCGAAGTGTGGTTTCATTCCCGTAGTCTCTCCTCATGACTTCGGTAGTGTACTTTTTCTTTCGGAAGGGGTTCTGTTCCCTTCTCTGTTGACTGGGCGCAGGGGGAGCAGCTTGCTCTGTTGCCTCTCGCTTGGTCCCGCTGTTGGTGGGCGCTTTGGGTTGTCTTCCAGCCTCTGCTGGCGACGGAGGACGGCTTCTCCCCCTTGGGGGGGGGTTCAGAGCTGGCGGGGTGGGCTTCTTCCCCTGCGCTTCGTCATTTCCTCTTCGTGGGTGCATGGGGCGTGGTCGATCCGCCCCATCCTTCTGGGCTTCCCGTCTGCTCTTTGCAGTCATGAGCTTTTCCCATCTGCAGTTCTTCTGGACTTCTTCAGCCTGCGCCCTGGATCCTCTGCCCTCCTCGGAGGACTGTTGTCTCCTGTTCGGATTTTGTTAGGGCCGGGTGCATGGATGGTGGCCCTGGACCTCCAGGTCACTTCTTGGCACGTTCCTCTCCAGTTTTTCTGGGGGTGGGGCTTCAGGTTTTTATTGCCTTCCCTATTTTGAAATGGGCACTTCGTATACTCTTTGCATCTTTACCGGATCTTAGTGCCCTGTCTGAGTCTGAGATTCGGTGTCTGGCCTACCTCGACGACTGGCTGGTGTGGGCTCCCAGTCAGTCCGCTTGTCTGCTCGCCAGGGGATGGTTCTTTCCAGATCGCCGGGTTTGGTTTCCTGGTGATCTGGAGGTTTTTCCATCTGTTTCCGTCCCGGTTTCGGACCTGGGCCTTGTTTAAGGCTCTTGGGGCCCCTCATTGTCTTCCCTCCAGAAGTGTTACTGCGGCTGTGGTCCCGCCTTTGGCTGTTCCGGAGGGGGTCCCGGGTTGCTCAGCGGTTGCTTGGGCGGTTGTGCGGGAGTCTGCACTTCGGCGTGCTTGTCTGCCCGCGGAGTCGGGTTTGGCTACGGCGTCGGTTGGTTCCTGCGGAGACTCCCCTTCCGCCTCTTGCATTCCTTGGGTTCCTCCGGGGATCTTGTGTTGGTGCTGCGTCACCAGCTTCCTCTTTGGGGTTTTCGGGGTTCCGTGCCTTGGCACCTCCCCGAGCCTTCGCTCGATGTGTTCACGGACGGGTCGTCTCTCGGCTGGGGCTTTGTGACCAGTGCTCACCAGGTCGGCCGAGGTTGATGGAGTCTCTGTCCGTCGGGCTCACAGCACGGTTCGGGTGTTCATGGCTGTCTAGTTTGCTCTTCGGAGGGTTTGGGTCACTAGGTACTCTACCATTCAGCTCTGTTTGGACTGTTCTCTGGTGGTTCTTGCCGGAACCACAGGGGTTTGGCTAACCGTGTGGTTCGTGTCCGGGGTGTGTCCTGCGTCCTGGCGGACAGCTGTCTCGGTTCATTCCTCTTCGTGGGTTGGCCAGTCGTCGCCGATTCGTTTTGTTGGCTCTGTCGGGCATATGGACTCCTGGCCATGGACGTCTTCGGGTCGGCGTGGTCTAGGCGTCGCCCATTTTGTGGTGCCCTTCCCACCTGCGAGGACTTCACGGTGGAGGCTTTCGGCAGGACTGGTCGAGGTGGGGGGTACCTGTTCCTCTTCTCCCGGTCCAGCTGTTGCTTCGGGTTCTGGCTCGGTTGCAGCCCATTCCTACGAGAATAGTCCTTATGGTTCCTTGGTGGCCGGCCCGGCCTTCTTTTCAGACGCTGCTTGCTAGGTGTCCGTACCCGGGGCGTTTTTCCTGAGGCTTCGCTTCTTTCAGCAGGCCGAATCGGTCCTGTCCGTGACTGGTTCGGCCTTCTCCTTGGCTCTTTGCGTCTGGTATTTTGACGCGGGTATCACCATCTCTATGGTGTTCAGGTGGCTTTGTTGACGGTGTCCCACCTGCGAGCTTCGTCTTGGAGACAGTATGACGTTTCTTACGTTTTCTCGTGTTTTGTTTCCCCTCCGGCCTGCTCATGCGTCGCCTGAGCCATCCTGGTCCTTGTTCAGGGTGCCTTCTTATCTTTCCCTCAGTTTGTGGTAGCCCCTTCGGTTCAGTTTCCTGCTCTTTGGTACTGGTGGTAACTTTATAGGTATGCAGCCTTTCTCTGTCCTGGCGCCGGTCGTGACGGCTGCTTTCCGGAGGGGGTTCTTGGGGTATTGGTGCTTGATTGGTTTGGCCAGGGGGGGGCGTCCTGTGTTGTCCGGTTGTGCTTTTTGCTGTTGCCGGCGTACCGTGTCTGGGGATGCGCTGTGGTTGATCCGGTTCCTTCGTTCCCTGTTTTCAGGGCTCGGGTCTCCCAGGTCGTCCGCAGTGTTTTCCTTCTTCCAGCCTGCGGTCTGTCTTTGCGCCCGTGCTGTTCAGACGTTTGCAGCTTTTGCTGCTGTGTTGGTGACGTCTCGGGCTCATTTCGGGCGCAGGGTTTTGTGGGTAGCACGGGTTTTTGGCCGCCCATCCATGTGGGCGTCTGTTCTTGGGCGTTCTTGTTGCCTTGGGTCGCGGGTTTGCGACCGGTTGTCTTGGCTTTGCGTTGCAGAGTTTGTGGCGGCCGCCTCCCGGGTTAGCTCTTTCTTTTCCTTCTCTTTGGGTATGAAGCTCCAGGGAGCCGTAGGGGCTCCCCACAGAAAACCAGCGTTGAATGTAATGAAACGCCATTTTCTCGGTGAGCCCCGGAGGCTCCCTGGAAACCCTCCCTCCCACCGGTCGGCGGTTTTTTCGCGTTGGTTGAAGCTTAGCTTCCGAACTGGAGCTTGGCAGCCGGCGCGGTAGGTCCGGGGCTCCCCCCTCCCCCTCCCGGGGTGGGGAGGGCTGCGCGGACGATCGGCGCGGCAGTAAAGTGTGATGTTTGCTTGTTTGCTAGTTTCCTTGGGATTGTAGGGAGTTTTCTACCTCTCTGTTCGTTTTTTGTTGTAGTTTCTTACCATGTGGGGTTTGTTTTGTTACGCCTACCTTTCTGGGTGCCTAACCCCGGTCGATGGCAGATAAGGAAAACCCCCAACCATATGGGGTTTTCCAGGGCCATTGCTCCCTGAAACCTCTCTGAAGGGGCAAGGTTCTGGCACTGGTCCCTGGTAGGTCTGAACTCCTTAGCTAATGTCTCGGTCTAACATAACATACATTAGCCCGATAAGCTCCAGGGAGCCTCCGGGGCTCACCCAGAAAATGGCGTTTCATTACATTCAACGCTGGTTTTTTTTAACCGGTTAGCAACACCTTGCCCGGGCTTCCCGTAGCAGTCAGCCTACGGGCCCTGGAAACCCCTGTCTGGGCTCGGTGGACCATTGAATGTGTCTTTCGGGTTCCAACCCATCTTGTACAGGATCATTGGTTGCTGTGCCCTTGTCTCCGGGTGACAGTCGCCACTTTTACCTCCGTCATGCTGCCTGTTGGGTCACTGACACCTTGAAAATTTTCAAGGAAAATTGCCCGAAATGAGCCCTAGACGTACCTGTTGAGTTTCCACTTAACTCCGGGGTCTTCCTGGCTTGCAAACTGATTTTTATGGGTCTTAGCACGTGTTGTGGTCGTGCTGGGACTTTGGGGTTTTGTTGTCGAGGTGGGCTCCCTGGAAGAAGAGTCCATGGGAATTCGTGCAGCCTTTCTGTTTTCTGTCGGTTTTCTGTGGGGAGCCCCTACAGCTCGCTGGAGCTTCATACCCAAAGAGAAGGAAAAGAAAGGGCTGACCCGGGAGGCGGCCACCACAAACTCCGCAACGCGAAGCCGAGACAATAGGCTGCAACCTGCGACCCAAAGCAACAAGAACACACAGGAGCAGATGCACATAAAGAATGGGCGGCCAAGAACCTGTGCGACCCTCAAATCCCTGCGCCCGAAATGAGCCCTAGATGTACCTGTTGAGTTTCCACTTAATTCCGGGGTCTTCCTGGCTTGCAGACTGATCTTTTTGAGTCTTGGCACGTGTTGTGGTCGTGCTGGGACTTTGGCGTTTTGTTGTCGAGGTGGGCCTTTTGATGCAGTTTTGTGCCTTCTTCGCCTGGCCGGTGTGGTGCTCACTGCCCACTGGTCGGCGGCTTGTAATTTTCTTTTCACGTGTATGTGTGTGTGTACACATGTAGATGTACACGTGTACACTGTGTGTGTGTATGCACATGTGTATGTGCATTGTGACGGGTTGTGGTATCGCAGCTATACTGAACCAAGATGGTATGGCTCTCCTGCACATAATAAAACAAAAATGCTGCTATTGGCCTTGCAGTGTGTAAGTTGCAGGTGGAAACAAATAAAATTCATCAAATAAATAATTTCTGTTTTCTAAATTTCTAAATATATTGAGCCATGTGTTTTGGTGCTCTACAAGCTTGGTGAGGATGAAGGGGTCTCTCTTTCCTCTAGTGTTCCCTCTTCTCCTCGGATATGACTAGTGCCTCGCCTTCTAAATTCATCCACTTCTATTTCAGCCGAGTTTCATGCCATGTTGATAATTATTTTCAAAAGTGTATAGAATGTTAAATGAAGTAAAGGAAAATGGATAAAGATTAACAAAATTGTTTCTTTTGCAGTTATATGCGAAGGCCGTCCATACTCCTATGAAAATGTTGATACAACTCACCTAAATGCTATGTTAAATAACAATGACGTTAGTGAATACCTCAAAATCTCTCCTGATGGATTGCAGGTAAGTTTGACATTTCTGGTGGAAGTGCCCCAGTGGCTCCCTGAATCTTGATGAGATTGCTCCATAGTGAAAGGTTGCAGCAGTTGTGAAAGTTCTGTTTGGCCTTCTGGGGACCAGAACCTGAACCTGGCCACCCCCCTCACAGAGGTGCAGGGACAATCTGTCACCCTACTGGAAAAAGCCTCCAAAAAGTCAGCACAGCTTTACAGGCAACTGAAGGATTCACAAAATGAAGCCTTGAAACAGTCAAACAATTCTGCAAACAATTCACGCAGAACAAGGGATTTACTCAAGATTGCTCGTAACTCATTGTTACTGACTGCCATTACCAGGTGTCCCAGCTTCAGCCCTCAGTCGACTCCCTATCTCTGTTATGATGATGACGCATGACTCGTAGCTCCTCTGGTCCTTCAGACTGCGGGCAAATTCCACTACTTCAAGCCAAGTGCTGGTCATCCGTGAACTGTGTTTCACTTTTTAGTATAGGCTTCACTTGCATGTTTTGGTTCTGGCTTGTCGTTTGGGCTTGGCTCTTGTTGCATTTTGGACTGCATGCACTGAAGGTTTTTTCCCAGTGTGCTCACTATTATGTTGCTGCACAATTAGTGTTATCTTCTATGGTGACCTTATCTTCTATGGTGTTTGGGAGTTTGTCCCCGAGTGGCCTAGCCACCAGGGTGGAGAGCCTCGTCTTGGGCTATTGAAGGATCTTTGATTCCTCTGTTCGTGCCTTTGTTTGGAGGGTGGTGTTTGGTGTTTGAAAGCATTTTTTGGTTGTGTTCGGGCACGCTTGCTTTCATGTGCTTATTTGCACGCTGCAGCCACCACTCACTGCCTGGTTGTTTTGACTGCAGTTGGTGACTGTTGTTCAGGTGAGCAGCCTGCGTCACCGGAACATGTAATGCGTCACATTACATTGTTTGCTTAGTTAGCTTCTGTCAGGCCCCTGGGAATCTTCTGTAAGGTCTCTGATGTGGTCCATATGGATCGGCTCTTTGAGCTTGCCCTTGCTGAGTGTAAGTTTAATGGGTGTTCATCATCTTTGCTACCTAAGAATGATAATTCTTTCTAGCCACACCATGCTGACTGTTTGGTTAGTGACACCTGCGATCCTTAGTCCTGTGAGGTGTGCTTTCACCTGGTCTGAATTAACATGCCTCCAACTGAGAGCTAGAATCTTATCAGCAGCTGCCATTCTGTGTGCTCTGCTTGCTCGTGTTAGGCATTTGCCGCAATAGTGATTGGCTGGATGCCTCAGAGTTAGCCCCTATGGTGTTTAGGGATTCCGAATTGGTTGTGTTGATGACCTCCACCTGGACTAATCCCATGTTTCCTCTTCCTTCCCCTACAGGTGTAGTTCAGCTTGCTTTTGGTCCCCACCTTCCTCCCCCAGATTCCAGCTAAGAAGTGTCTGAGGGTTTTGGGGTTGGGGCAGGGATTAGCTCAGGGTGTAGCTAGGCCTTCTCTGGTAATGGTCCACATCGATGGTAGAGGTAATTGAGCCTTCTGGTCCCGCTGGTGTTTTGGAGCGTTCGCCTTCACAAATGCACGCCTACCCCAAGCCGCCTCATTGGGAGGACACCTTTCACTCTCAGGTGTTGTGTGAGGACTTTGGCTCTGCTCCGGATGCTTTGAGGGAGGCTTCAAGATGTGAAGGGAGCCCAAGGAGTGCCCTTGGGTGTCTTTCAGCCCTTCATTTTTCAGCCCAAGGGGCAGCGATTAGGTCTGTTGCTTCAGTTGCACACCACAGTGTAGCATTCTTTAAGGAGGATTCAGCTTCCTCTAGGCTTAGTGCTCTGACTTCACTCTGACTGCTTCCTGATGGTTCATTGCCTTAACAGAGCGGGAGGGGGGGTTGACTTCGGTCCATATCCATGTAGAGCTGGATGTTTCTTGTAGCTTGGCTTTGACTTTTCGGGGTTTTGTTCTTAGTGTGGTTCTCGTTCAGTGTGTGTCCAACATTCTTGCAGATGGGTTTCTCACGTCCATCTCATTTCCACAGGGTGAACAATTGATGCATTCTGAAGTTGGCTCTGCGAGACATTCGATTACTCCGAGGTGGACCTCTTTGTATCGGTGGAACCAGCATCTACTCTCCTATGTAGCTCCGTTACCTGATCGCAGAATATGCATGGTGGATGCCTTTTGACTGGACTCAAGGTGGAGGTGTATTACCTCTTTCCCCTAGTATTCGCCTAGTTGTGTTCACCTAGTTGTGTTTGCAGGGGGTTGAACTTTGCTCTTTCGGCCCGCCTCTCAACTGTCAATCAACTGTTTACTAACTACTATTTTTTTTTCCACATCATACCTAATCAGGATACCTGATCCAGGATCCATACCTGATCAGGATACCTGATCAACCAGGCTGTGACTCACACGTCAGGCTGCGAGCAGCCGCGTCCAACAGCCTGGTTGATCAGTCCAGCAAAAAAAGTAGGCCTGGTCGACGACTAGGCCGCGGGGACGCTAAGCCCCGGAAGCACCTCAAGGTAACCCCCCCCCCCCCCCCAGGAAGCGGCCCGTGACAGCTGGCTAACTCCCAGGTACCTATTTACTGCTAGGTAACAGGGGCATTCAGGGTGAAAGAAACTTTGCCCCTTTTTTTCTGCTTCGTGCGGGAATCGAACCCGTGCCACAAAATTAAGAGTCGTGCGCGCTATCCACTAGGCTACGAGGCCCCCTGTTCAGTTGGTGTTGTGGGTGCTGTCCAGTCTGGAGTTGTACTCAGGGAGGGTGATCCCTCTTGCTTCTTTGTGGAGGGCCTATGCATCTGGGGTTTTGATGCGTATTTATTGCCATTTGTGTGGTGAGAAGTTGGCTAGTTGGTGTCCCGCCTACATCTTTCCTTGTTGTGGCAGTATGAGATTCCCTGCCATTCGTTTTGCCACTCTGTCTCTTTGTTGTCTTTCTTTGGTCTCGGTCAGGTCTGTCTTATCCTTTTTGTCTTTGTTGTTTCTCAATCAGCATGAGATCCTGATTGAGAAACAGGCTTGTGTTTGGCCTACAGGGGACCGGAGACAGAACCTGGCTTCTCACAGAGGCACAGAGAATGGGTGACAAATCCGCCATCCTCCTCTCTCTCCAGGTTCATTGGTTCGTCTTGGGTTGTTCACTCAACCTGTCCTCTTGAATTCTGTAGTACATTGCATTTTGACATATAAATCCCCTAAGGCCAAATACTGGTGTATTAAAAATTATGGCCACTTCAAAATTGACACAATGTCCCGTTTTCTATTTGTGGGTTCTCGAATAGGCTAGGTTCGGACAATTTAGTACATCAGTTTAGTGACTGTGAATGCTCGAGAGAATGGGCTGGTTCATTAGTTGGGGAGCCAACTGAGGGCTGGGGCTGTGGTGCCTGGTGGCAGTAATTGGCACTAACAAGTTCTGAACTAGCTTGAATGATCCCTTGTTTAGTGTGAATTGTTTGTGAAGTTGTTAGGCTGTTCGAGGCTTAAATTTTTGTGAATACAATAGTCTGTAAAGCTGTTCATCTTTTCTGGTGCCTTTTGTCAGTGGGGTGGCGGACTATCACCCGCTTCCTGTTCCTCTGTGGGGGAGATGGGGGCAGGTTCTGGTTCTGGTCCTCTGTAGACCAAACACAGTTCCCATGACTGATGCAACCTTTTAGTATGGAAGCTCAGTGTGAAGTTTAGTATGATTTAGTGTGAAGCCCCAATGGCTTCCCTTCAGGGAGTCACTGGGGCTTCTCGAGGAAGAGGTGTTTCATTACATTCAACACTGGGTTTTTCCTTATAGTGCTTTATTACAAGTTTGGTATCATTTTCTGTAATTAAATTCTTTAACATTTCAGTGCCAAAATATTGACGGGAAAATATTGAATTAATTTTTTTTGTATTTTTTTCAGGCACGCTGTGATGCATCATCATTTGAAAGTGTTCGGTGTACGTTCCAAGTTGATACAGGAGTGTGGTACTATGAAGCCACTATTATAACTGCTGGTGTGATGCAGATAGGCTGGGCTACGAAAGACAGCAAGTTTCTCAATCATGTATGTGTCTTGCAGTATTTCTGTAAATATGTTTTTATATTTTTGGGGGTGGAGAGGGACCAGTGTGGCTCCTCAAAGCTGTCTTACTAAGATGGTTTCCCAACTGTTAGATCACATCAGCCATGGAGTTGTTTGGGTCTACCAGAGACCAGAACCTGGCAACTCAGAGGTGCAGAGAGCAGGTGACACTACCACTGCGTCGGGTAAGCATCCAGAAAGTCGGCAAATCAATGCAGGCCACTGCTGTGTTCAAAAGAACAGGAGCCTCGAAACTGCCAAACAAATTCCAAAAAGAATGTAAATAATTGATCTAATTTCTCGATGCTAGAGTGAGCACGTTAGCACTAATTTGTGCCAATAAGGGGGGGGGGGTGTCGGGGCTCCAGGTCTCTCCAGCTGACAACCTGGGAACTCCCCAGGTTGTCTACCAGCTGCATGAGTCCTGCTCCTTCTTGGCTAAGTGTGTATCATCCTTGGACTTTGTCTTGCGGAGGCCATTTGCTTGGTGTTTTTGTATACTGTATTTGGTTAACTTCATGAGTGTGAATTTTTTCCAGTTTGTGTTGTGTGGACGGGGCTTGTCGAGTACTTGGAGCTGCATATACTCTTGGCTACCTTCCCTGTGCTCCCTAGTGCTCTCCCTGTACTGTCAGTTCTCTTCTTCTGTGTGCTCGGGGGATCGGTCTTTAGTGGCGAGACCACCAGGGTGGGGCTTTACCTCGGGTGTGTGTCGGGGGTCTTTGAGACCCATTGTCTAAACCTTTGGACCTTTGGTTGAGGCGAACATTTTGGCTGGTTGGGGCACATTGTTTATTATTATTATTATTATTATTATTATTATTATTATTATTATTATTATTATTATTATTATTATTATTATTATTATTATTATTATTATTATTATTTTCTACCACAGACGTGGCCACACATTTACAATGCTAACCAGCATATATACATTTTCTTCTGTCCTCCATGGACAGGGTTAGAGATGTGTTAAACATATAGTTCAAGGGTTTATTGAACAATCAACCACAAAAGGTGATTCGGTGCTTTTAAAATGCTAAGCTAACCTACATACGTAAATACATAGATACACAGATTTACGTATGCCCTACATAAAGTGTTCGATGTGTCTTTTACATAGTCATTAATGTGCATTTACAAAGGTGAAATGTAATTCTGATCAGCTTCCATACATACTTTATACACATACATATACATACACACACACATGCATTCACATACATTTGTCTCTTTTACTCTGACAGGGTGAGATAGCTGATAGAGAAACTATTGTGGAATTAAGCACTTAATCACTGAAGGTGATTAAGGTACTTTTACAAGCTCAGGTTATATAGTTACATCACATACATACATTGTATAATTGATACATTACATGGTTAATCTTGGGTACAAGTCCAATATATCATCAAGTGTTCCAGTACTCATATAGTAATTACACAGTTCAGCATACCTTAGCCCAGGAGGGCAAAAGTCAGTCAATATGGGACATTCTACAATATAATGTTCAAGAGAGTGCATGTTTTCTCTTTCACAAAGTTGACACATTGTGTACTCGACATTTGGGTTTTGAGAAAGCTGCCAGATATGTCTATATCCCAGATGTTCACATATGACATTCACATATGGGACTAATAGAACAAGAACCCGGCAATGTGATGTTACAGTGGCCAGAATACGCCTTGGATATAGACGTATCTGGCAGCACATTGGGGTGTTTGCATGCATGTTTTACATGGCACACTGAGGTTACCTTCAGTCACATTAACTAGGCTGTGTTGGTCTACCTATATAATTCCCTATGAGCATCCCCAGTGCCTGGGTGTCCTGTTTGGCCATTCCTTCAGGCCCTGGTAATCCCTTTGGTTTTGGTGTAGTTTATGGATTTCCCTTTAGATCTGCTCTTGCCTTGTGTGAGTTTTAGGGGTGTTTGTCATCCATGTCAAGGAAATGACCATCATTCTTTATGCCTCTGCCATGTTGTTTGTTGTTCGTCTTGTTTTTTAGGGACCTGGCATTGAGGGGTGTTGTCATTTCCACCATGGTTATCATCCTTTCTCTTCAGGTGTGGTGCACCTGGCTGCCATTCCTCTCCTCCTGCTTCCAGCTCCGAAATGCCAGAGGGCCTCAAAGTTGGAGCAGGGTTTAGCTCGGGATGTGGCTCGGCCTTCTCCAGGGGTGGCTCCTTCCACTTTGGGTGTGAAAACAGTCGAGCTGCCGAGTCCTGCTGTGGTTTCAGGGGTTTTCTTTCTTCTGTCTTACCTCTTCTTCCAAAACCTCTCCTCCTGAAGAATTTTTTTTCTGTCTTGTGCAGTGGATGTAGATTTTGGGATTCTGGCCAAGTCGAATTTTTCAGGGTTTCATTCCTTAGTACCTTTTCCCTGCCCTCGCTCGACATTTTCACAGACTCCTCGGCTATTGTTGGGGTTTTGTGACCAGCTCTCACCAGTCTGGCCAGGGTTGTTGGCCGCCTCTTTCACCGGGCACATATTATGGTTCGGGAGTTTGTGGCCATTTGACAGGCGCTGTGGAGGGTTTGAATTCCTCCTGGCTCTGTGATCTGGCTCCATTTGGACTGTTCCCCCATGGTTCATTGTCTCAACCAGGTGGAGGGAGAGTCTCTTCTGTCCTTGTCTCTTTGATGCTGGTCTCTTCACCTAATTGTACTCACCTAATTGTGCTTGCGGGGGTTGAGCTTTGGCTCTTTGGTCCCGCCTCTCAACTGTCAATCAACTGGTGTACAGATTCCTGAGCCTACTGGGCTCTATCATATCTACATTTGAAACTGTGTATGGAGTCAGCCTCCACCACATCACTTCCTAGTGCATTCCATTTATTAACTACTCTGACACTGAAAAAATTCTTTCTAACGTCTCTGTGGCTCATCTGGGTACTAAGTTTCCACCTGTGTCCCCTTGTTCGTGTCCCACCCGTGCTGAAGAGTTTGTCTTTGTCCACCCTATCAATTCCCCTGAGAATTTTGTAGGTGGTTCTAGTAGCTCTTCTGCTGAGTTCTCGGGGTTTAGTTCTCCATTTTCTTTCAGGAAATGACTTTCTTCGAGTAGCTCTTCTGCTGAGTTCTCGGGGTTTGGTTCTCCATTTTCTTTCAGGAAATGACTTTCAGGAAATGGCATGAAGAGCCAAAACCCTGAGCTGCTGAGCAGATGATAGCTGCTTTTGAGGGTTGAAAGAAGTGTAAAATATAAACGTCCACATCTCGTCACAGAAAGGAGCAAACAAAATCAAAGACTTCTGGAATATCACTTGACCTAATGTATTGAGATTGCAATAAAGCAAACACTGCAACAGCCAAAAAGAATTATAGGATGGATAAGGAGGATCTTCAAAACAATAGATGCCATACCAATGATGGTACTCTTCAAAGCACTGGTGCTATTTCATATTGAATATTGTTTGGTCCTCATGTCCCCTTGCAAGGCAGGCCAAATTACAGAGCTGTAAAGTGTGCAGATCTTTTACTGCAAGCATACATACAGTGAATCGTGCAAACTATAAGAACCGATACAAAGCACTCAAACTACTCCTTGGAATGGAGGCGAGATAGATATTTCATAATGTACACATGAAAAATGCTTAATTTAATGCATGTACCAGCACATGCATGAAATGTTGCTGGAACACTAGTGGAAGCTTACTAAAGAGAATTGGACAAGTTTGTGTTGGTGCTGGGGTAGAATTAGTCTCAGAATCATTAACATATAATCTACACATAATGTAGCCCTCTCCAGGGCAATGTTTAACTATAGTATACCTATGACAATATTTAACTCTGCCCATGGCAGCATTTAACTCTCCATGGCAACACATTTAACTCTCCATGGCAACACATTTAACTCCATGCATGGCGACCTATATTCCCAACATTTTGCAAGCATAATCCTTACTTTGAGTTCTTTACAACTTTATTATATACTGTACAATAAAATAATTATTAATTAATATTTTAATGTTTAAGGTGAATTTAATTATATGCAAGACAAATAAGTATCTTATCTCACTTTTAAATATTTTCTTTGTAATTATAATTTATTTTTTGTTACCCCCGTCTTATTTCTTTGTTGCACCCCTTCTGATATTAATTACAGTAAATGATTTAAACCATTTCTGTGGGGAACCCCTCTGGCTCCCAGGAGCTACCGGACTGATATATGATATATTAGTCTGGGGCATCAGTCGATTGGAGTTCAGCCTACCAGGGATCAAGAGCCAGAACCTGTCCCCCCCCTCTCCATCCCAAGAGATGCACAGGGAGCAATGGTCTATGGAAACTCCCCCCGTGTTTGGGAGCATTCCATGTTTGCCATCGACTGGGGCTAGGCACCCAGAAAGGTAGGCATAACAAAACACACCCCACATGGTAAGAAATTGCAACCGAAAACCGAACAGGGAGGCAGAACTCCCCAAAATTTAAAGAAACGAGCAAACAAGCAAACATCATACACTACCGCCGCGCTGTTTGTCTGCTCAGCCCTCCCTTCCCTGGAAGGAGGAGCCCCCCCCCCCCCCCCCCAGTGCTGGCTACTTACACCTCCAGTTCGTAGGCTGATGTGCTATGGGGGTGGTTGTCAACTCTGGTCTCGGTTTCTGTGCAGACATTGAGCCTTCTTGGTGTTTTCTGCTATTTGTGGTGGTGGTCAGGAGTAACTTCAGTGTACTGGGGTTGCATGGGTTTAGCGCTACCTTCCCTAAGCGTCCTGTAAGTACTACCCTTAGGTTCTAGGGTTCCCTTCAATAGGGCCTTTGGAAACTACTTCTGTAGGGGTTCTTGCTGCTTGGCATTTACCCTGCCCTTGGGGCCAGCTGGGGTTTCGTATCCTTTGTTTGGCCTTGGGTAGGAAGTGGTGTTGTTGCTAGTTGGGGCGTAAGGTGCTGTGCTGCTCGCTTACCTACACGGCGGCTCTATTCCTGTTCCTTCTGGTGGCATTGTATTTTTGTGGGGTTTTTCTTTTACTTTTGTTTTCCTTGCCTGGAGGGGGTTTGTCTTGTTTGGCTGTTGGTCCACATTGGGTATGTTGGTGGCCCTCCTCTAGGCCCCCGTGATTGTACACATCACGGGGGCTTCCTGTAGCAGACAGCCTACGGTCCCTGGAAAACCTTGTCGGAGCTCGGTTGACTGATGGTTGCATCTTCTGAGTTCCACCTTGCCTTGTGTGAGTTTGCAGGTTGTTCTGTGCCCTTGTCTCTGGGTGACAGTCACCTATTTTGCCTCCATCATGCTGCCTGTTGGGTCAACAACACCTTTGACCCGGAGTCTTGCGAGACGGGTTCTCTGCTTGTGCTGCAATTTACCCATTCTATTGTCACTGAGGTTCAGGTTCAGGCGGCATCCGCGTTGCATGCTTGGTTTAGGTTGTTGCAACGCACTAGGTTGGTTGCTTGCTTGGGTGCCCCAGGGCTGCCCCGTTTTGGTTTTAGGACCCGGACTTGGGGGTGTTAGTAGCTTCGACTCTGGTTCAGTCCGTGCCTGCAAGTCCTTTCCCGGTTCGTGTTGTTTGTCCTGCTCCTTTCCCCCCTGCTCTCGGCTTCCAAACATCCGAAGGTTTCGAAGTCAGGGCAGGGTTTAGTTGGTGATGAGACTCGGGCGGCTTGTGGGGCTGCCCCATTAAAATCGGTAACAGAGGCATTCGAGCCTGCTCCTCCTGCCGAGGTTTCTGGGTCCTACCAGCAGACCCCCTTCTTTCCTGCTTTTCCCCCTGGACTCCAACCACTTGGGCTGGACGGAAGAGCAACGGTCTCGCTTCATGCAGGTCTGCATTCAATCCCTGACTGTCCAAGTGGTTGGGCACCATTCCTTACCCCGTCCCATCCCAACTCCTTAACCTGATCCCTTCCCAGTGATATATAGTCGTAAAGGCTTGGCACTTTCCCCAGATAATTCCCTCCCTTCTGTGGACCCTGCCTTTTCTTCAGGGCTGGAGGGCATGGAGGATGGCTCTGCCCCAGGGTCTGGTTTGGAGGATCCCAGGGCTGGGGAGGAGTTGTCCTGCAAGACAAATAAGGGGGCTGGACAAATATTTGCAGGACAAATAAGTTGTCCTGCAAGATCAAAGGGGGCTTGGGCCCCCTTTGATCCCATGTGGGTTTTAGTGCCCTCTTCACTGGCTTTGTTGATGCAGGGGGAGGGCTTTTTTTACCCCCCCCCCCTACTTCCCTGTATGAGTATGATTTTGGGTCTACTCCTCCCCATGTTCGGTTCCAAGTTCCCTTGGGTTCCTCGGCTTCCTCTTTCCGTAGATTTCTGCCTCTCGAATCTTGCCTAAGGAGGTTTGGGAGGCTGTTGCTGCTTACCTCCTGCGTGACCCAAATTATGGCTCTGTGATGGATCCGTCCTCGTTAGAGTACGGTTCTTCCTCGTACTGGGTGCATTATGAGGTTTCAGAGTCATCCTGGCTTGCAGACTGCCCTTTCCTTTTGCAGGGGGCGTGGCATGGGTTTTTGTTGGACCCTTATGCTTGAATGGCAGGAGGCTGCTACCAGTCTGCAGGTTTACCTGGGGATGAGTTTTGAGTGCCTTAATGTGTGCTTGTTTGCCCCTGTGCTTCCATGGGATGTTGGCCTTGTACAGCTACACATGTAGGTTCCCACCCTTTTGGCGTCCTTGGCGGCTGAGGACTCGTGCACTCGTGGAAATTTGGCCTCTGTCTTGTGCTTCTTGTCCCTTTTTGAATTTATCCTCGGACTAGCTTGGGGAGGATGTGGAGGTGTTGAGTGCCGGGCCTTCGTCTGGGGTGCTGGCCGTGAAAGCTAAGGTGTTGGCCACACTGTTGAAGCTGTTTGCGCTGATTCTCGGGGAAGCGGTGTCTCTGTTCTTTGCTTCTCACCTCGCATATTATCAGGCCGTGCTCGCTCTCTCCTTGGAATCTGCTTGAACCCTGGCTCTTAAGTTTTCATCACCTTTTTGTCCATTGCTGTTTGCAGAAGCTGCTGTCACTCAGTTCTGCAGGTGGCCTCATCTAGTTGTTATCTATGTCGGATTTGTTGCTTCTCCAGGGGTGGCCATTCTAGGGCTTATTGGAAAGGTCGTGCCAGGGTTTGTGGGTTCTTCCAGTTGGGGTGGGCCATTGGTGCTGGTTTCGAAGCCAGCATTGTCTGGTTGGAGCAATGCTCGCTCTGCTCGTCGACTGGATTCTCGTAAGGGGCGCCGGCCCCTGTTCACGTTCCTTCAGGAATGTCCCTTCCGCCTCTCTCTCTCATGATTGCTGGTTTCGGATTCCAGGGGCCTAGCGTCGGTTGCTGCGTCGCCTGCTTCCTCTTCGGGTTTTTCGGGGTTCAGTGTCTTGGCGCCTCCGCAAGCCCTCGCTCGAAGTGTTCACAGAGACCTCATCTCTCATATGGGGTTTTGTGACCAGTGCTCACCAGGCCAGCCAGGGGCAGTGGGCTCTGTAATTCTGTCAGGCTCACAGCACGGTGCGGGAGGTCGCGGCGGTTTGGCTGTCCCTTTGGAGGGTTTGGGTTGCTCGGGGTTCTACGATCCGGCTCCATTTGGACTGCTCTCCGATGATTCATTGTTCGAACCACAGTGGTTCTCTTTGGTTCTTGGCTCTTTGGGGCTTGTCACTTTGGGTGACTCATCTGCTGGATTCTTGGAGTTTGGCTCTCTGTGCGGTTCATATCTGGGAAGTGTCCAACATCCTGGCGGACGACCGGTCTCTGTTCATTTCCCTGTCCACAGAATGGACGGTCAACGCCGACTTCTTCAGTTGGCTCTGCTGGACGTATGGAGCTCCCAGAGATGGACCTCTTCGTGTTGGGGTGGTCTCGGTCTCCCATTATATGTGGTGCCCATCCCCGACTGCGGAGCCTTCGCGGTGGACACCTTTTGGTAGGACTGGTTGAGGTGGGGTTACCTATACCTCTTTTCCCTGGTCCAGCTGTAGCTTCGGGTTCTGGCTCTTTTTGGAGTTTTATCGTGGGAGATAAAACCTTGTCCTTGTATCCTTGGAGTTGTCCTTGTGGCCCCTTGGGGGCCGGCCCAGCCTTGGTTTCAAATGCTGCTTGCTCGGTGTCCGAACCTGGGACGTTTTCCGCGGCTCCCCTCTTTCAGCAGATCGGACCAGTCTGGTACATGGCTGGTTTGGTCTACTCCTTTGCTCTTCTCGTCTGGTCTTTTTGACTCGGGTGTATCACACACATATATGGTGATCAGGTGGCTTCATTTATGGTGTCCCACCTGCGAGCTTCATCTCAATGACAGTATTAAGTTTCCTGGCGTTCTTTTTGCCATTTTCTCTCTCTTCGTAGGTTGTCTTCTATTTGTGATCGGATTGTTTTGTCCTTTCTTTCTTGGCTTTTTCAGGACCGTCATTTGATGCCCAATACTGTCGCCTCTTATTGTGTGGCGCTGGCGGAGCCACTCCAGCTTGCGGTCAGGGTGAATGTCACTTTGGCCCTGTTTCACAAGCCTTCTTGTGCTTTGTTTTACCTCTGGTCTGCTCATGCGCTGCCTGAACCATCCTGGTCCTTGGACCGGGTGGTCTCCTTTCTCTCTTTTTCCTTGGTTTGTGTTGGCTCCTTCAGTTCAAGATTGTTTTTCCAAGGCCCTCTTTCTGTTGGCATTGGCCTGGGGGTCGAATGGGTGAGCTTCATGCTTTCCTCCAGTGCAGAGGTTTCTGTTCTTTCGGTCCTGATGGTCAGTTTGTTCGTTGCAGCCGTCTCCTTCTTTTCTGGCGAAGAACGAGTCGGTGGCTTTCCAGAGGGGCCCTTGGGTCATTGATGCTTGGTTGGTCAGGCCGGGTGTGCATCATGTGTTGTGTCCAGTTGCGGGTCTTCGCAGTTATCTGCGCGCTTCAGCTTCTGTGGCTGGGGACGCTCTTTGGGTTTATCCGGTTTCCCTCGTTCTCTGTTCCAGGGCTCGGGGTCCCCCCTTGTCATCCACAGGGTTATTAAGTCTAGCCAGCCTGTGGTCTACCATCGTTCCCATGACATTCGTAGGTTTGCTGCTTTGGCTGCCGTTTTTGGGTAATATGTCTTGGGCTGACATTCGGGCACGGGGAGTTTTGGAGGTCAGACAGGGTCCTGACCGCCTGTTATCTGGTCAATATTCCTGGTCCCGGTCATTCATGTGTGACAACTAGCTGCATTCGTGTGCAGCCAGTTGTCTCGCCTTTGAGTTGATGTGCACGTGGCGGCCGCCTCCCGGGTTACTCCCACTTTTTACTTCTCTTTGGTTAGATAGCTCCAGGAAGCCGGAGGGGCTCCCCACAGAAAACCAGCATTGAATGTAATGAAATGCCATTTTCTGGGTGGGCCCCAGAGGCTCCCTTGCACCCTCCCTCCCTCCCTCCCTCCCTCCCTCCCTCCCTCCCTCCCTCCCTCCCTCCCTCCCTGTCCCTTCCTCCCTCCCTCCCTGTCCCTTCCTCCTTCCCTCCGGTTGGCAGTTTGCATTTTGTTTTTAATGCTCAACCTCTGAACTAAAGGTGTGAGTAGCTGGCATGGGGGTCTCGGGCTTCCCCCTCTCCTTCCCGGGAAGGGGAGGGGGTGCGAGGATAAACGGCGAGGTTGCAATGTAAGATGTTTGCTTGTTTCTTTAAGTTTTGGGGAGTTCTGCCTCTCTGTTTGGCTTTCAGTGGCAGTTTCTTACCAAGTGGGGTCTGTTTTGTTATGCCCACCTTTCTGGGTGTCTAAACCTGGTCAATGGCAGACATGGAATGCTCCCAAACACATGGCAGTTTCCATAGGCCATTGCTCCCTTTGCCTCTCTGAGGGGGGGAAGGTAGGTTCTGGCTTGTGGTCCCTGGTAGGCTTAACTCCAATTGACTAATGCCCCAGACTAATGTACCATATATCAGTCCGATAAATCCAGGGAGCCTTTGGAGTTCATCCAGAAAATGATGTTTCATTACATTCAACTCTGTTTTTTTTTCTAGGAAGGATATGGGATAGGTGATGACGAGGTGTCTGTAGCTTATGATGGATGCAGGCAATTGTTTTGGCATAATGCCCAGAGTGAGAGTCACACGCACCCAAGCTGGCAGCCGGGTGACGTGCTCGGTTCCCTCCTGGACCTAAACAAGGCTCAGGTCATCTTCTATCTCAACGGTGATCCTTTACCACCTCTCACCCAAGTCTTTAAAAATGCAACGTAAGTAACCTAAAGTCATTTCACTTTATATTTGGTTTTAAAGAAGCACATGTTTTATAAATGAGGTTTAGGTAGGAGGTTCCAAATACTTCGCATTTGCAAATACATCCTGGTAGGAGGATCTAAACTATACTGTTATTTATGAAATGATAAAATTACTTGCATATAAAATAGATTATAGAGTTGATGGACATCCCTCGTTCAGGGATACACTGCTTTGTGAGTAACCTTTAGGTTGTTCTCCAAGATGAAGGAGCGTCTTGCAGCAGGACAAGTCTTATGTTTAGTCGGGGAAGATAGATAACATACGTCTGTGCGGCAGGAATCTTTTCAAGTGTCTGTCAGGTCATACTGATGCTATGAAGGTATTGGAAAATAGTCAGTCAAACTGAAATGACTACCAGAAGGTATTCAATGTTCCATAAAATTAAAGGTTCTTGGTAAAACTAACTGGAAGCCCCAATGATTGCCAATTAGCTTTGGTACAAACTGCCAGTTTCCCCACCTGGCTGTAACAACCAAAATGTACAGGGTGCCTTGATTCCAGCCATTGCATAATGACTGACTGGTCCCATACTCACTGTTGGGTGGGCTGACTACTACTGACTCACTACTTCTGACTACAAATCTTGCTTGCTGGCAAGATATGTAGAGAAGGCAAGATATGTAGAGAAGGCAAGATATGTAGAGAAGGCAAGATATGTAGAGAAGGCAAGATATGTAGAGAAGGCAAGATATGTAGAGAAGGCAAGATATGATATCGGGCATGTTTTAAAAAGCTCGCTTTGACCTCCTAATTTTTTTTTCTCATTTCATGTGGAGATGGTTGAGGAGGCATTAGCGGGCGCACATTTGTACTTGGTGTTGTATGACTATATGTTGCGGCTGAAGCTTGGCTCGTGCTCTCCACGTGGGAATGGTCCCAGGCTGGGTGTGATCAAGCTCCTGTAAAGACTCGGGTGTCTTTTGTGCCTGTTTCCCCACGAGAGCTTTTTTTTTCCATTATATTGCCCTTGGTTATTTTTGCCGAGATCCAGCAGCATCTTGAGAGTTCTTGCGGAGTCATTCTTGGCAGCCTCGGCAGCTATTTGATGGTAGGTTCTGGGGTGTCTCCCAGGGCATCCCAATTGCACCTATATGTTCTTCTTCCTCTGCACTATGCCCACTATCAGTTAGGCTGCTCAAGGTGACCCAAATTTTGGAGTTTTGGTCCTGTATCTTTCCTGAGGTTTAATCATTGCTGCATGGATTTGGCTTCTTGATTTGTAGAGGATTCTTTCCTATATCCATTGTCCAACCTTCCAGAACGCAGAATCGTTTTGATCGCCTTGTAGATCGTTTCCCTAGATATAAGCTCTTTGGTGTGTCCTGGTCCATTTTGGTTCATGTTCGGCGGGAACACCAGGACACCTTCCATTATCCTTCTGAAATTGGTGCTAGTTTGGCTTTCCTCCCATCTCTGCTCGATCCACACATAGTTCATCCTCTGGGCTCGTTCTGGCTAATGACACTGGTCTGGTTACTGCTGGCAGCTGCATAGTGCCAGCTCTGGATCATGTTTTACAAGTTTACCCTACAGGGTTCTCTTTCATTGAGGCGACTTCTTTGGATTTTCAGCGATTGGTTCCTTGGCAGTCTTTGACTCTTATAGTTCAAGCTCTTTCCGAGTGTGTCCAGTATGGCCTGGAGTTTTGTTTTCAGCTGTAATCTTGCAGGAGATAGGTGTTGGGCTCTAATTTTATTTTTTACTATCCTCAGTGTTTCGTAGATGGTGGCAATGTGGTTTGCATTGTATGCATCACTTCCCTAAAGGGCTTGGCTCTCTATTATTGGAGAGTGCTCGGGTGGTTCATGCCACCATCAGGGTGGATCTTCTCATCCTCTCCCAGTGAGGCATTAGAATAATTTCTGCAGCTTCTCTTTGTTCTCTTGCATCCTTACACTTGATGACTTTGTTTACTTAGCAGTAAATAAATACCCAGAAGAGAGGTGACTGCTGGGGTTTGCATCCTGAGATAGGAACAAAATGGACTTCAAGAAAAACTGATGCCATTTTCTTAAAGAAAAAGCTACATCCACTCAAACCAAGGTTGGTTTGAGTGGAAGCTAAAAGGCTATTACCCCAGGAAAGCAAGATCTGTAATGCTGTAGCTTTGCTGAAACAGGGATAGGCACAATCCTGGGGGTGAGTTGTGAAGGTTAACACCCCAAAGATTAAAACTCAGAATAGGTCTTATTAGATGCACTTGAGCTTGGTGAGAACAGGCTTGCTGGTTGCAAGATGTGTGTTCTCATCATTCTTTTGCCTTACCGTCTTGACCACAGGCAAGGATAGCAGAGTAAAATACAATTGGGCACGACATACAATATGAGTAGATTGAGAACACTCACAGTGGGAAGATGGTGGACAAACAAATCCAAAGATGTTTACTTAGCTCTAATTGAAGACCGACAGTTTCAAGATGAACACTAAACCCCTTAACACTTTCGCGCTCTCGGCGTTCAAAAAAAAAGCATACCCTAGATGCTTTCGGCGCTTCGCGCGCCTACGCGGTAAGACCGAAAAAGTGTACACTCTTTTGACTGTCCTGATAATAATTGAAGGCGCACGTATTTAAATTTGGTATCACTGTGTTCGCAATAAAATTGTCTATAAGAACATATCTATAAAATGCCACCAAACCATAAGGATTATCAACACCAAATAAAAAACTATTCAGATCACTAGCCGAGAGCGCCAAACAGCAACAAAATGTTTCCACTCTCTTAATGGTTGCGAAGCCTACAGTTGTCCTACATCGCTAATTGTGGTATCATTGGAATCGCAATAAAATTCTCTACACGGACATATGCATATAAATATAGATTCAATGTCGTAGCCCACCCAAAACAGTGTGGGAAGTGGCCGAAGTGTTACCCGCGGCGGCATATCGGCGAAACTCGCTTTGAAAAGTGTATATTCAATTCACTGTCCTGACATTATTTGTCGATGTATGTATTTCATTTTTGTACCAATGTGCTAGCAATAGAATGTTCTATAAGAACATAAGTATTAAAGGTCACATAAGGATGCGTTCGACCGGCAACATATATAAAAACTACGTCGATTACACTCGTCGTGTCAATAATACAATTGTTTTACCACGATGATTCACTGCCACGCCGTTTTCTTTTATAGGCTGTTCGGCTATTAGAGAAAACGTAAATTTCATGGCAAACATTTGTAAACTATTCCCAAGTTGATCGGATAATAAATGGATTTTATACAAATATTTTTGCTCGTGACTCCCGCGAGGGGCACGAGTGCGGTGTGTTTAATAATATTGGTGCCGACGCAGGTCTGCTGGAAAGCGCCAAAGTGTTAATAGAATGTGGTCCCCCTGTATTGAGAGCCAGGGAAGACAGTGTAGTTGGATCTTGAAGTATCTGTACACAGACATATTTACTGATTGGTGAACCCCTCGTGGTCGCAGTGTAGGTGTCAACACCTGGTGGTATTTGGGGTAGTGGTAAAGGGTAAACTAACAGTCAGCTGAGCAATACTTGCCAGTCTGTTGGAGTGTAAATAAATGAACCTTCTAGAGGTCATTCTGGCGTGGTTGGAATCTGTTTCTCTGTATGCCAATTAATGGGCCAGTGGAGCCAGATTGAATAGATACGTGCTGCATCAGGAATGGGAAGATTACAAAGACCTGGCTGGTACTTTTGTGTTCATATGAGGGTGAAATATTGTTTAAGGGAGTGACTGAGTGGGCACAGTTCAGAAAATTTATTGAGAAATTTAAGTGTTTTCTAAAAACATTAGTACATTACTATATATAGACATTTACTCAAGACAATTACATAGTATTTCTGGGTAGATAAGTCATCTGGATGATTGCTTTTAAATTCTCCAATTTAGCTATTAACCCTTACACAGCTCAGGGGTCCTTGGGACATTTACACCCCTGTGCGCAAGAAAAAAAAAAAATTCAAATTTTTTTTTTTCGTCTTCTAAACATGTTAATTTGTGTCCCCTGAGCACGGAAAAAAAAAAAATAATCGTAGGTGACATATTTTGGGCGCAATTAACCGAGGAAGTCTGGCAAAAAGTGGGCGTTGACAGAGCGGTCGTCAGACCCGGTCAGCGTCACCCGCGCTGACAGATGGGAGTTGCCACAAAGATATTATTACCTAATTGTTTCAATGTCTCCGATTGATTTTTTCTTAGTTTTTTTGCAGTAATATTATTCAATAGTGTGTATTGTAGTATATTTATATAATAAAAGTGGTGAATAATCGCTATACTCAAAAGTATGATGTGCATATTAGTGATTCAATTATTATGTTTATAAAACAATAAACAAATAGTTTTGCTGCTATTACACTCTATACACAGGTTATATATAAGTATCTGCATGTTTTGGTCACCATAACGAACCACTAAGTTGGTATTGAGAGTCGAAAATCAACGAAGAGTTACCGCCACACACCAGCCAGCCACTCGCTGCCACTCCCTCAACACACTCACTAAACTTTCTCCCCCAACAATACCATTTGTGGTGTTATTACACTATATACAGACGTTATATATAAGTATGTATATATTTTGTTCACCACAACTGTACAGCTAAGCTGATATAGTTAGTTCAGGCACTAAGAGTCGTCGCTATACACAGATGGCGGCTCCCTCACTCTTTCAAGGTCACGCGCACTAAACTTTCTCCCCAACAATACCTTTTGCAGTGTTATTACCCTATATACACATATTATATATAAATATCTACATGTTTTATGCACCGTAACTGTACACCTAAGCTTGTAGTGCGCCCAAAGAGCATAGTGGCCACCCTCTAAACAGCTAGACAAATCGTGCAGACGATGTCACCTCCGTCACCCATATGGCTCCTCCCAGCATAATCCTTTTGCTGTTATTACACTAATACACACATTATATATAAGTATCTACATTTGTGTTCACCATAGAGAACCACTGACCTGGTATGGTGAATGCAAACAATAACAGCTAGCCACACAGTCAGTAAACGATGCTGTCTCCCTCCATCTCTCAGCATCACTCCTCCCACAGCGCTAATTATTACAACAATCCTGCTATTATCACAACCCTGGTTATTTATATCACAGTCATGGGTCATCTGTAATATTGTCATCGCTAAATAATAACAATTATATATTTATTTTGACATTTTTCGGCGATGCTGTGGTCACAAGCTGAACAGCAATGCTGTTCGCTCATGCTGCGTGCGCCGGCCTTGGTTGCTCCAACAGTACTGTGCCTCTCACACCTGAGAATATTGCCCACGATTTTTTTTTAAATGGCATCTGTTTACAAGAGCCCTGAGGAATCTACTGTGAACCCCGTGTAGCCGCGGGCCATTTGAATCAGGCCTGGCACCCTATGGCGTATATATACGCCATGCGCACCATGGGACATGTTACTCAGGGCGTATATATACGCCATGCGCAGTTTAAGGGTTAAAGAGTTTCTTTAGATAGTTGTATATATCATTGTTAATATTGAAATTGAAATAAGTTTATTGAGGTATAAATACACACAAAGGAATGAGATAGCTCGAGCTATTCTTGCCCCGTTGAGTACAACGTGTTCATATATGTACATATATAAACACGTCATAAACACTAAGCATATTGCCGAACATTCTCAGTGATAAATTGTTAATGTTCGTTAATATGGTAACTACACATCATTGTAATGAATGACCATTTTTGTTAACAGTTGTGGATATTTTGCTGCTGCCAGCTTCATGTCCTTCCAGCAGTGCGAGTTCAACTTCGGAAAAAAATCGTTCATTTATCCCCCAAAGGACATTCCCTTCCAGAGCTTTAATGACCATGCCTATCTCAAAGACAGTGAGAAGATTATATTACCCAGGTATGTTTTAATGAGCTTTACAAATTGTTGCATTATGCACCCCCCTCCTCCTGTTTTGGTAGTACTTATAGTAACAACGAGGACCATAGTATATACTGGCGATGAGTCACAATAACGTGGCTGAAGTATGTTGACCAGACCACACACTTGAAAATGACGGGACGAGGATGTTTCGGTCCATCTTGGACCATTCTCAAGTTGATTGTGACTTGATCATTCTCAAGTCTCACAATCACAATCGACTTGAGAATGGTCCAGGATGGACCAAAACGTCGTCGTCCCTTCATTTTCTAGTGTGTGGATTGGTCAACATAATATATACTGTACACCCACCTACAACCAAATTAGAAAGTAGAAATCTGAACGATTGAGTTGGACAGACCGGAAAACTATTTTTTTACTTGTTGCTTTGACAAACTAACCTAACCTTTCTAGGCCTAATACATGATATGAGGCCTAATATAGTACTTATGTGTGTGTTATACTAGGCCTAGGAATATTTAAGTTTGTGTTTTAGCCTCATTTATTTTACAAGAATATATTACTATTATCTAAAAGCTAAGTACGTACATATTCGTGTCTGTTGACGATCGTCGCAATAGGTACTATCTTAACAAGAGGATGGGTTGCAGCATGGCATACAACTTGCATTGAATTGGTGTCCATACATGTGACATACTGACACATATATAACTTGATTCTGTTATTGAACACTAGTTTGTACATGTGGCACAGTGACACATAACTTGATTCCATTATTGAAAAGTAGTTCATACATGTGGCAGAGTGACATATAATGCCATGCTATTATTAAACAATAGTCCATACACGTGACAATGATACATATGACTCCATACTACTATTCAAGACAAGCACAAGTTGCCCTCTTTGTCCTTCTCTGTGGATAGTTAGCCTCAGGGAGCCGACAAGGCTTCCCTCTGAAAACCAGCGTTGAATATAATAAAGCGGCAGTTTCTGGGTGAGCCCCAGAGGCTCCCCTGACACCCCTCCCTTCCCCAGGTATATAGTGAGAAATGAAAATGTAGCGTAAATATTGGATGTGGTGCACAACAGTCCGAGAGTTGTTAGAGTGAAAGGAGTGTGTCAAGATGGTTGAATTATAATAAATGAACAGTTTACAATAATGGTGATGAGAGTAAATATTGAGTCAATTTGAAGGGATTAAGTGTGAACAGAATGCCAGAATTGTTAGGCCATAAGCCTAGATAGAACCAGTTTGAATTATTTTTCTGCAAATTTTGTTTTAAATAAGAGGCATGAAGTAGCTTATAGCACGTTGAATGAAGCGGAGAATTATGGAGAATAGTGGTTGTGTGTGATGGTGCAGTGTGTAACACACAAGGTGTTGTGTGTGATGGTGCAGTGTGTAACACACAAGGCGTTGTGTGTGATGGTGCAGTGTGTAACACACAAGGTGTTGTGTGTGATGGTGCAGTGTGTAACACACAAGGTGTTGTGTGTGATGGTGCAGTGTGTAACACACAAGGTGTTGTGTGTGATGGTGCAGTGTGTGACACACAAGGTGTTGTGTGTGATGGTGCAGTGTGTAACACTGAAGGAGTTGCAAGTGGAGTGTTTGTCTGCATGTTTCTAATCATGACTTGATGTATTACACACACACATATACCAGCAGCCCCCGCAGCATAGTTGTAAGACATTCGCCTGGCGCTTCATGAGCGCTTTGGCCTGGGTTCGTAGCCTGGCTGGGGAGGATTTACTGGGCTCCAATCCTTAACTGTAGCCTCTGTTTACCCTACAGTAAGATGGGTACCTCGTTGTTAAACGATTTGGTGGGTCGTATTCCAGGGGTCGCATTATAATAAAATAAATACACATCTTCTGGGATTCTTCCTCCACATAGCATAAAAGTGAGAAAAAGGGTGGTGGTAGTGCTTGTCGTGGTGGTGACCATTATATGTTTTATTTGGCTTTTTAACATGAGTTTCTCATTTCACATTGAGAAACTTAATAAAATTGGTATTAGGAATCATCCTTTACAAGTTTTCCTTGTGTTTATAATGTATATTTTAGGTTTATTATGGTTTATTATATTTTAGGAAAGACCACAAAGATTTCTTACTTATTTCAGACACATCAGGCTTCAGAAGCTGCGTGCCATGAGTGTCGAGGAAGGAGCGTGCACTCTGTGTTTTGATGAGAGTGCCGCTGTTACTCTCCTGCCATGCACTCACAGGTAAGAATAATACAAATTTATTAATTACTGAAATTACTACTATATTGTAAGGAAAGAAAAGGAAGGGAGAGAAGGTGCATAAGTGGCCCTGCTGATAAGGAAGGGCTGGAGCTTTCACGAGATGGAAATTCCGGGCTGTGACGGGTTCAGAGATCACATAACAGGAACTATGACTATGGGTGGACCTAAGATAATAGTGGCAGTTATTTACAACCCTCCATTAAATGACAGAAGACCCAGACAGGAGTTTGATAGGAACAACATGGCAACCAATAATATAATAGAGAAAGCAGCTTCAGTTGCCTGCAGGAGTGGCTCCAGACTCTGAATCGTGGGCGATTTCAACCATGGAAAGATAGACTGGGAGAATGGGGACCCACATGGAGGTGCAGAGACATAGAGAGCCAAACTCTTGGAAGTGGCAACAAGGAACTTTCTGAACCAACATGTCAGGGGACCCACAAGAATGAGAGGCAATGACGAACCAGCTAGACTTGACCTGATATTCACCTTGAATGAGTCAGAAATAAGAGAAGTCAAATTTGAAGCCCCCATAGGAATGAGTGCCCACAGTGTATTGACATTTGAGTATCTGGTAGAGGTAGGGATAACCTATCCAAGGATGGGATCGGAAGGGACAAGACTGAATTACCGGAGAGGAAAATATGATGAGATGAGAAACTTCTTAAAGGGAATACCATGAGAAACAGAACTCAGAGAGAAGAATGTACAGGATATGATGGACTATGTCACCCAGAAATGCCAGAAAGCTGCAGATAGATTTATCCCGGTCCAAAAGGAGTAAAGCGAAAAGCAATAGAAGAATCCATTGTTCAACCAGGAATATAAGGTATCGTAGCAATTGAGTAAAAGAACATGGAGAAACTACAGGAATAACAGAATGCCAGAGATCAGGGAGAGATACCAGAGGGCAAGATATGAGTACCTCAGAGTGAGGAGAGAAGTAGAGAGACAGTATGAAAATGACATCGCGAGTAAAGCTAAGACCCAACCAAAACTGCTCCACAGGCATATCAGGAGGAAAACAGCAGTGAAGGAACAAGTTATGAAACTGAGAAAAGGGGAGAATAGATCTCCCCTCTACACAAGGGAGGGAGAAAAGCATTGGCAAAGAATTAGACCAGTTGCACTAACGTCCCACATAATAAAAGTATTTGAGAGAGTGAGCAGGAGACGGGTCACTACTTTCATGGAGATAAATGACCTCCACAACCCAGGCCAACATGGATGTAGTTATTTGATTTACATGTTTTTATACCCTGAATGTTGGTACATACAAATGATGTTATCATATTTGTGGAAGTGCTGAGTATTTTACTTGGCATTAATATCTATGGTTCTGATAAGGTTGTCACTGTTTGTGTCCTGCCTTGCCACTCTTATCTCTTCTCTCACTGTGACTGTTGCTCAAGTATATACTCCATTGTTCACTGAAGTACCTTCCTCTGTCACCACTGTTGCCTGTTTCTCCACCTTGTGTTATCAGGTTATGTCTGTATGCTTGACTACTTTGTTCAATGTGCAGTATTTCTTGAGCTTCCTTAACATTTGGTGAAATACTTGGCTTGAGATCATGTGGTGGGTTGTATTGCTTTTGTGATGCAATATTGCATACCTCAAGATAACCTCAAGATACCTCACAGATTTCAATTATTTCCTCCTCATCCGAAGTATAATAAAGAATGTTTGTTGTTTACAGAGGGTTCTGCAACAGATGTGCTCTGCAACTAGATTATTGTCCTATGTGTCGGCGGCATATTGAGGAGAGAAGAGAAGTGGAGGAGAAGCCAAATGCTGAGGAGGATGTCACATGACCCACGGTAAGCAGTAAAATTTTTGTCTTTTCTGTACTGCAAACAATCTCTGATCATTTCTTTACTTATTCTGTGAGACAGAATCAGAGTTTCCCCATGTGGGAGTACCTCCTATTTCTAGCCCTAAGCAGCGGAAGGGCAATAACCGATGAGTGAATGAGCTAACTTCATAACTTTCAGTGAAGTTACTGGAGTGAATTCATAACTTCATTCTTTATGAATGATACTCAAATACCTGTAAATATAACTGATATCAACACGAGCGTGGCAGATTTTGAAAGAGAAATTGACAATATGCCCATGCACTCAGCTCCGGATCCAGATTCATGGAATTCAATATTTATAAAGAAATGCAAAGTGCCAGTAGCACAGGCACTCAGTAAAGTGTGGAGGAAGAGCTTGGACACAGGGAAGATACCAGATGCGTTTAAAGCAGCAGACATTGCCCCTCTACACAAGGGTGGTAGCAAAGCATTGGCAAAGAATTATAGGCCAGTTGCACTAACGTCCCACATAATAAAAGTATTTGAGAAAGTGATCAGGAGTCAGGTCACTAGATTCATGGAAACCAATGACCTCCACAATCCAGGCCAACATGGATTTAGAGCAGGAAGATCATGCCTCTCACAGCTACTTGACCACTATGACAAAATCACTGAGGCATTAGGGAAAAACATAATGTAGATGTCGTATACACAGATTTTGCAAAGGCATTCGACAAATGTGACCATGGAGTGATTGCACACAAAATGAGGTCAATGGGTATAACTGATAAAGTAGGACGCTGGATACTCAATTTTCTGTCGAACAGAACACAAAGAGTAACAGTCAATCAGGTAAAATCAAGCCCGAACGCAGTTAAAAGCTCTGTACCTCAAGGTACAGTCCTTGCACCACTGCTGTTCCTTATTCTCATATCAGATATAAACAAAAACACAAGTCACAGCTTTGTGTCATCCTTTGCAGATGATACAAAAATCAGCATGAAAATTACCTCTGCTGAAGACATTGATAAACTACAAATAGATATTAACAAAGTTTTAGACTGGGCAGCAGAAAATAACATGATGTTTAACGGTGATAAATTCCAGGTACTCAGATACGTCAAAAATGAGGATCTTAAACATAATACAGGGTTAAAAAAACAATCGAATCTGCCCATAGTAGGAAAAGAGCATGTCAAGGATTTGGGAATAATGATGTCCGACGACCTAACGTTTAGGGAGCATAACCAAGCAAGTATTGCGTCAGCCAGAAAAATGATAGGATGATTTACGAGAACCTTCAAGTCCAGAGATCCCATTACAATGGTTGTGCTCTTCAAGTCACTTGTGTTGTCCCGTCTCGAGTACTGCTCAGTACTCACTTCCCCCTTCAGAGCAGGAGAGATTGCTGAAATAGAGGGAATACAGAGAACATATACGGCACGCATAGATGAGATAAAGCACCTAAATTATTGGGATCGTCTCAAAGCTCTCCATATGTACTCACTAGAAAGGAGACGAGAGAGATACCAAATAATTTACACATGAAAAATACTGGAGGGACAGGTCCCAAATCTGCACAGTAAAATAACAATGTACTGGAGTGAACGACATGGAAGAAAATGCAGAATAGAACCAGTGAAGAGCAGAGGTGCCATGGGCACAATCAGAGAACACTGTATGAACATCAGAGGTCCACGGTTGTTCAACGTCCTTCCAGCGAGAATCAGAAATATTGCAGGAACAACCGTGGACATCTTCAAGAGGAAACTAGATTGTTTCCTTCAAGGAGTGCCGGACCAACTGGGTTGTGGTGGGTATGTGGGCCTGCGGGCTGCTCCAAGCAACAGCCTGGTGGACCAAACTCTCACAAGTCAAGTCTGGCCTCGGGCCGGGCTTGGGGAGTAGAAGAACTCTCAGAACCCCATCAACCAGGTATCAACCAGTGAGTGTCTCAGTTTTGGAGCTTGCCTTCTCCCTGGCGTATGAAGTTCATGCCTCTGCGTCTTCGGGTTGGTTCGTCTTCCGGCTGTGGCCTCCTCCGTCCCCAAGCCCGGGCGTTGCGCCCGCAGCAATCCATTCCGAGGACATTATCAGATGGGGAGTTTGACTGGGGGGGTGGGGGGGTTCATCTGTCAAATGATAATACAGGTGTCCTAAGGCCAGCTCAGCATGGACAGAAACCTCATGTAGAGCAAAAAGAGAAATGCTGGCTTGATCCTGATTTTCAGTACAAATACAGACTGCGAAAGCAGTCCTCTCCCATTAATATTCCAGATATCCAGATAATTCCTCTCCAATTAATATTCCAGATATCCTTGTGCACAGGAATCTTAGCAGATATATGGAAAAAGGCAAACATAGTAACAATTTATAAAAAGAGTAGTCCAGAGGAACCTCTAAATTATGTACCCGTATCATTAACAAGCGTGGTAGTCAAAACACTAGAAACAATAGTTAAAGCCAAATGGGTTGAACACCTAGAGAGTAATGACATAATAACGGATAAACAGTATGGTTTCTGGGGGAAGCCCCTTCGACTCCTCGGAGCTTATCCAGGCTGGTATATAACTATTAGACTTTGGCATCGGTCAGTGTGAATGGAGTTCTTAGTCCTACCTGGGACCATGAGCCAGAACTTGGCCCCCCTCAGAGAGGCACGAGGAGCAATGGCCTATAGAAATGCACATGTGATTTGGAGCATTCTATGTATGCCATCAGCTGGGTCAGGCACCCAGAAAGGTAAGCATCCCAAAACAAACCCCTATTCTGGTTGAAACTACTACTAAAAGTCAAACGAGTGGACAGAACTCCCCAAAGAAAAAAAAGCAAACAAGCATGATACCACCATGTTGCTGCACCCCTGTCTGAGCAGCTCCCCCCCCCCTTCCCAGGAGGGGGAAGGGGTAGCCCCCAGACCTCTTGCACCGGTGACCCACACCGCCAGTTCTCGGCTGATGTGATTGAGGCTTGGTCGTGGGAATCTAGCTCCTGTTTCTTGTCTCGGTACTGGACCTTGTGTTTAGTGCTGTCTTTAGGGTGGTGCATGTGGTGGGAGTAATCTTCACTGGTACTCGGGCTGCATGCGCTTAGGGTTCCTTCCCTAAGTGCCCTGCAAGTACTGCCCTTGGGGCTTAGGGTTATCTTCCACAAATCACCTTGGGTCTACCTCTGTTGGTCTTTTGCTGCTCAGTAATTAACCACCCTGTGAGTGCTGGTGGTTTTCTTCCTCCCTTGTTTCCCTTAGGGTAAGGGGTAGTTCGTACTGGTACTGCACAGCTAGTTATCACCTCTTATAGCGGCCGGCTCTGTACCGCCTGAGTACGTTGTCCTCTTGCGGGGTTTTTCTTTTATTTTTGTTTTCCTGCCTGGTGGGAGGGGGGGGGTCTGCCTTTTGGTTTGTAGCCACCTGTCCCTGACCTAGGTTTTATATATCTGTGTTTCTGGGTGGTACCCCCTGCTAGGCTCCCATGAGTGGATACGTCCTGGGGGTTCAGCTTTTAGCAGTTTTGATTGATAGACTTGGGTGCCAGTTCACAGTACCCTGCCTGGGCTTACCCTTAGCGAGACTAGTCTCAGGGCCCAGGAAACCCCACAGGGGTGCCAGGGGGTCCGATGGATGCGACCCCTGGTTCCCCTCTCACCTTGTGCAAGTTTGAGGGTTGCCTTGTCACCTTGTCTCAGGGTGACTCTCACTGTTTTTGCCTCCGTCCTGCTGCCTGTTGGGTCGATAACACCTTCGACCCAGAGTCCTACGAGAATTGTTGCTTGTTTGTGACTCCATTTACTCTGTCCACTGATAACTTTATACGGGTGCAGGCGGCTCAGGTGTTGCTTGCTAGATTTAGGTTACTGCAACGCACTCGGCTGATTGCTACCCCGGAAGCCTCGAGGCTGCCCCGTTTTGCTTATAGGGACCCGGACTTGGGGGTGTTGGTCGCTTCAAACTTGGTTCAGTTCGCACCCCCTTGTTCTTTCCCTGCGGTGGTTCATTCTGGTTCCTGCTTCCGGCTCCGAAGCGTCCGAGGGCTTCGGGATTTGGGCAGGGTTTAGAAGGTTCCGAGACTCTGGTGGTTTTGGGAGATGCCCCTTCCGGGGGGGGGGGGGGTGGGGGGGGCATTCGAGTTGGCGCCTCCAGCCATGGCGATGGGGTCTGACCAGTGGGGTCCCTTCCTGCCTGCCTTTTCGGCTGCCCCGGCTTTTTCTTGTGAGGCCGGGGCTTTGGAGGATGACTCGGCCCCGGGTCCTGGTATGGGGGTTTCTAGGGTTGGGGAGGGGCTGACTTTGGGGCCTTGGGACCCATTGGAACCCGCCTGGGTTTTCCTACCCTCTGAGCAGGGCTTACTGTTACAAGGAGTGGGGGTTTTCTTTCCTCCCCCCCTCCATGGGTACGAGATGGATTTGGCGTCGGCTCCTCCCCGGGTTCGGTTCTGTCCTTCTGTAGGTTTTCGGCTTCCTGCGTCTCGCTGACTGAAGTGCAGGCGGCCATTGCGGCTTTTCTCCTGCGCGACCCAGATTATGCCTCTATAATGGATCCGTCTTCATTCAGGTTTGGGTCTTTGTCTTCATACTGAGTTCGTTGTGAAGTTCTGAAGGACGGTGGTCAGGTTTACCGGGGAAAAGGGGGGGTTGAATTCGAGCTCCTCAATGCGTGTTTGTTCGCCCCTGCCCTTCAGCGGCATGTTGGCATGGTTCAGCTTCACGTGCAGGTTCCCTCCCTTTCGGCTGCACTTGTGGCCGAGGACTTGCGCGCTCGTGGCTTGCTGGTTTCGGTCTTGTGTTTCTTTTCCCTCCTGGAGCTGTCTTCGGATTGGCTTGCGGAGGATGTAGAGGTGTTTGGGGCCGTTCCTGGGTCTGGTGTCTTGGTCTTGGCGAGCGTGCATCATCTGCACTGCTGAAGTTGTTTGCGCCGGTCCTGTGGGATGCGGTGTCACAGTTTTTTGCTTCGTGTCTCGTGTGTTGGCAAGTGGTGCTCGCTTCCTCGTTGGAATCTGCCTGGGCCCTGGATCTTAGGTCGTCACCATTTGTCCCTTGCTATTTGCAAGTCTGCAGTTGGGCAGTTTCTGCACGCAGACTCTTCTAGTTGTTGGACTTGTTGGTCCTTCGGGGGTCCCAGGGAAGTTCCTCCTCCATGCCTGGGCTTGGGGTTCCTCTCATCGTGGTAGACCATTGGTGCCAGTTTCTGGGTTGGTGCTACCTTCGGACCCATCTTAGTTGATCGGCGTGGTGATCGCTTTGTGTGTACGTCAGGTTCTCGTCAGGAACGTCGGCCCTTTCGCAGTTTGCCCTATTGACGGGGCGATGGGGGTGAGACTTGCTCTTTCACTCATGCCTGGTCTCACGATTTGTGGGCTTTATGGGTCGCTCGCGGATCGACGATCAGGCTCCATTCGGACTGCTTCCTGGTGGTTCATTGCCTGAACTGAGGGGGTTAAATGATGTCCTTGGCTCTTTGGGGATGGTCGCTTCGGGTGATTCGTTTGCTGAGTTCTTGGGGTTTGGCTTTCCTGGTCGTTCACGTTCGGGGGTGTCCAATGTCTTGGTGGACGGTCAGTCTCGGATCATTCCCTATTCCTCGGAATGTACGGTCAACACAGACTCATTCAGTTGGCTCTGCCGGACATACGGGCTCCCGGAGGTGGACCTCTTCGCGTCGGCATGATCAAGGCGTCTCCTGATATATGTAGCACCCTTCCCCAACTGCGAGGTCGTCGGGGTTGATTCTTTTCGGTAGGACTGGTCGAGGTGGGGTTCCCTGTATGTTCCCCTGGTTCCGCTGTTACTCCTGGTCCTGGCTTGCTTGAAGACTTCTCAGGGGAGAGTAGTCCACTTGGCTCCTTGGTGGCCGGCCCAGCCTCGGTTTCAAGCGCTGCTTGCTCGGTTTCCGAACCCAGGGGTTATCCTGCGGCACTGCCTCTTTCAGCTGATTGGTCCGGTCCATTATGTGGCTGGTTTGATCTTCTCCTCAAGTCTTTGTGTCTGGTGTTTTTTGACTTGCGTCTATCACCATCTGTTTGGTGATTGGGTGGCTTCATTCATGTTGTCCCATCTTTGTGCTCATCTCGGGGCAGTATGTAGTTTACTGGCGGTTCTTCCTTTTCTTTTTGTTTCTTCGTAGGTATACTTCGCTTTCTGTTAAGGTGGTCTTGTCCTTTCTCTCATGGCTATTTCAGGACTGTCTTCTTATGCTGCATACTGTCTCCTTGTATCGTGTGGCGCTGGTGGAGCCGCTATGGCTTGCTTTTGGTTTTGATGTGCCTTCTGCGCTGTTTCGTAAGTTGTCTCGGGCTTTGTTTCCACTCCGGCCTGCTCATGCACCGCCTGAGCTGTCCTGGTCTTTGGACGAGGTGCTCTTGTCTCTCTTCACCTTGTTTTGTAGTGGCCCCCTTCGTTTCAGGATTGGTTTTCAAAGGTTTCTGCTCCTTTGGTTTCTAGTGATAGGTTTGTTCATTTGCGGCCCTCTCTTTCTTTTCTAGCAAGGTTGGGACGGCTGTTTTCTGGAGAGCCCCTGGGGGTTGTTGATGCTTGGTTTGTTTGACCGGGCATGCATCTTCTTGTGTCCAGTTGTGGCTCTTGGCTGGGGCTGCCCCTATAAACCCAGGGTTGAATGTAATGAAACACCATTTTCTGGGTGAGACCCAGAGGCTCCCCGGCATCCCTCCCTCATATCTCCAGTTGGCAGTTTTGTCTGTGTTTTGACATCCAGTTTTCGAACTGAAGGTGTGGGTCGCCGGTGCGAGGGGTCTGGGGCTTCCCTTTCCCCTCCCGGGGAGGAGGGAGCTGCGCAGAAGGCGGCGTGGCTACATGATGATGTCATGCTTGTTTGCTTGTTTTTCTTTGTAATAATATTTACCATTATTGATTGTATGCTGAGATAGCATGACACAGTTGAGTGGGGATGTGTCCCACCTCATGAAGGTGGAATTGATGTTATTACTAACTTCCTCTTATATCTTTCCATCATTGTATTATAAATCACCAGTTGTGAACACATTGAGGAGCAAATACGTATATAGAAGTTCATGAATCCTAGGATAACTTTGACATTAAAAAGGCTCTTTATGTACATCCCTCCATCCATCCATTTAAAGTAGGGTGGTAAGAAATATTAAATCTGATTTTACTTTCCAGGAATATACTGACACCACCTTGAAGACATTTCCATCACAGATAGCCTGAATCCTGGAGATTGGTTGAACACGTAGCTGTTGAAAGTTACCCTGTACAACAGTGTAGTGGAACTGTGGCTGTTTTGTACAAAATTTACTTTGATCATTGATTTCAAAATGGTCATGGGATGTTGCAGCCAATTATTGATAAATGCGCACGAGTATAATGGGAAGACACCTGCAGAACTGACTTTCTAAGTTTTTTATATAATTGTTATGCATTACAATGTTAATTATTTACCCTTAAATGTGGTGGTCAGCTCTGCATTGTCCTTTTGCTATCTGGATACCTTTTATAGGAATCAAATAGATTATAATATTATAAGTAATGTAGGTAGATGATGAGCATAGGCATTACTAAATAGAATGATCTGTAGCCAGTAAATATGCTCTTTTTTTTTTTTTTACTTAATTTTATTAAATGTATCCTGTTATTTAATTTATATATTCAGTTGCTTTAGCGACATCTGACTTGTCATCTTGTTGACAACAAAAATTTTTTGCATTTATATGTGTCGTATCAGCCAAGCTTATACAAATGATATTTAGGATATCTTGAGCAGCTGTGATTGAGAAGTTAACACTTTGCATCACACATGAGAAAAAGTTGATGGCCTTCTCTTAACATTGAAAGAATTGAGCATTGGTGACATGATATATTATGATCATTCTGTTGGCCCGGGCTTTTACCGCACGACGCCAAGCTCATATTATTGCTAACCCAGACAGTGAGATTCAGTGTAAAAGAATTTAGCATTTCTAAATGTACAGTAAGTGTAAAGAACATTTATTTTAAATCTTGAAAATTATGCTACATGTTGTTTTGTGCTACTGCCATGTGTTGGTCACTCAAAGACAGATTTGGTGTAGTTAGAAATTGAGTCATTTGTATTTAGTATATTTCTCAAGTATTGAGAAAAGTAAGAAATCATTTGTCACAATTTTATTATAGCATTTTGGGTTTTCAGATTTTTTAGTATTAAAGTGTGAGAAAGAGTGTAATCTGGAGTGAAAGATGTTACTTCTGCCTGAGGATCAGTATTGGTTACAATTTGGCCGTGCTTGCAAGGACAGGTAAATATAACCTTAGCGTATTGAAAAAAAAGGTAATTTAAAGTATTACTCTCTATATGGTGGTACAGTACGTTATATACTGACCAAACATTGTTAAAGAGCATAAAGGATGGTGTCGTGTAAAAGAACCTGTAATTGCAGCAGTTTGAACGACCTGTGTGAAGTGTGATGACTGCTGTGTGCGAGTACACCTGAACAATCGCCTGCATGTGTCTGTTGACGTGTGGTTACACAAGGACTATACAGTGCCCTCTAGGTTGGCAACCAGGCCCTAAAATAACAATACCCACTTTCATTTGTTATGGCTTTTATGCACGGAATGTATTCTTAAGATGTTCTAGATTATGAAATGTACATAAATGTAGAGATGGTATCCAGCCAGCAATGACACAGTGCACGTTCTCGCGAGTGATGGCTCCAGACGTTTGGGACGGCCGGTAGATCATAGATTACTTCCATGGTTGAATTAGATGTTCTTGATTCATGTTCAGAAGAATCTTTTAATTGTGGTTCTTTTTATATGTAATTCTATCGCTTTTTTATTGGAACTGTATATATGTAAATAGGTTTTCAGGGGTGATGTTGAGAAAATATGTTGTAATTTCTATATCTTCATGCAGACATGTGTTGCAAACTATTTCTTTTGTGCATACATATGTTGCAAGCAGCATATCTTTGAGAAGACATGTTGCAAGCTGTCTCTCTTCATGTAGATATGTGTTGCAAGTGGTGTCCTTTCATGCAGACATGTTGCAAGTGGTGTCCTTATGTGCTGACATGTTGCAAGTGGTGTCCTTTCATGCAGACATGTTGCAAGTGGTGTCCTTATGTGCTGACATGTTGCAAGTGGTGTCCTTTCATGCAGACATGCGTTCATTGAATTCCTTCTTTTTCTCATTAGTCATAATTAAGCCTGCTTTATATATAATACATCAGTTATAAAAACAAATAAGACTTTTCACACACACATTCATATTGAACAACAGTCCAGTAACCATGTACAAGCTAATCAGAAGGTGGAATGGAATAAAAGTGTTTTAGGTGTTCCGGTTGCAGCCTTGATCGCCCCTTTGTTGAAGGGAATTATTCTAGCAATACCAGGATGTGTGCATATTGCAGAGGATAACTCGTGCAGTATCAGGATGTGTGCATATTGAGGAGATAACTCCGAGAGTTCCTGGAGGTACTGTCACTGTATTCATTAATACCGTATTGCTTTCTCTCATTTGCATTGCCAGATTATTGCTGTTATTTACAAAACTACTTCCAATAACCAATTAGAATATATATACTGTATAGCATGTTTGTATATTGAATAAAGCATGTGTTGTTAAATATTTTTGCTGCTCTAAATAAATGTGACAAATGTGCAGAACAGCTGAAAAGTTGAAGTTAAGGTTTTATGTATCATCATCTTGATGGGGTCTCATCATGTTGGTTATCTACTTGGTGGGCCTCATCATGTTGGTGATCATCTTGATGGGGGTCTCATCATGTTGGTTATCATCTTGGTGGGCCTCATCATGTTGGCTATCATCTTGGTGGACCTTATCATGTTGGCTATCATCTTGGTGGGCCTCATCATGTTAGCTATCATCTTGGTGGGCCTCATCATGTTGGCTATCATCTTGGTGGGCCTCGTCATGTTGGTTATCATCATGGTGGACCTCGTCATTTTAGTTAATAATTTACAAGCATTTTAATTTGAAAAATTATTAAATTGAATATGTACAGTATACATTTTTATTTTAGAATACAGTAGTCACTGTGTGGTACTTGTTACCCCTTGATTATACAGTATGTGTTTTATTTTTGTCATGTTTTATAGCTAACAATTAAAGTTTATATAAATTTTAAATTTAAAAGTTCCTTGAGATTGCTGCAGTAGCATAATCCTGATGGGTGTGGGAAAGTGTTTGATATAAGATGTCCAACACAGTCTTCAAGAGGATAGTACACATTATGGTTGTGGAGGTTCGTGTACACAGTGTGGTCAATGTTTTGTTCGGTGAAGTTCGTGGTATTGTGTACCTTGACTTTAGCAAAGCTTTTGATACAGTGCCACATGAAAGACTGATTAAAAAGATAGAGGCCCATGGTATTGGGGGTGCTATATTAAATTAGGTGCTGTATTAAGCTGGAAACAGAGAGTTGGTATAAATGGGGTTAAGTTAGAGTGGGAAAATGTTGTAAGTGGAGTGCGTCAAGGCTCTGTCCTGGGACCTCTGTTAATCATAATATATATGAATGATTTAGATTCAGGTTTGAGCAGCAATACAGTATTTGCAAATTTGTTGGGAGATAAACATGGGGAAAAACTCGATATCACTTCAAGACGATCTAAATATGGTCAAAAGATTGGCAAATGCAGTTTAATGGTGATAAATGTAAGGTTTTAGGGCTAGGTGGTGGTGGTGATATAGTTAAAAGATACGAGCTAAACGGTGTCGAGATTGTGAAGTCGGATTGTGAAAGGGATCTGGGAGTTAAGATTAGTAAGAATTTAAAACCAAAGGATCAATGCATGAATGTTCGTAATATGGCAAATAGGACACTGGGATTTATTAATCGAAGCGTTAGTAACAAGACACCTGGTGGTGTTCTTCAGCTATATCTTGCTCTGGTTAGGCCCCATTTAGATTAAGCAGTTCAGGTTTGGTCACCGTATTATAGAATGGATATAAATTCACTAGAAGGCATCCAGCGTAGGATGACAAAGTTAATTTCACTAATTAGAAACCCTGTCATATGAAGAAAGATTGACAAAGCTTAAATTACATTCTCTAGAACGGTGAAGAATTGGGGTAACAAAATATAGGTGTACAAGGAGATGAATGGGCATAATAATGGGGTAATAAAAGTATCAACACAAAACAATGGGTATAAATTGGATAAGTTTAGATTTAGGAAAGACCTGGGTAAATACTGGCTTGGTAACAAGGCTGTTGATTTGTTGAAAAATTACGTAATAGAGGTAGGATCCCTTGATTGTTTCAGTCGTAGGTTAGACATATATGAATGAGATTGGGTGGATATAGATAGGAGCTGCCTCATATGGGCCAATAGGTCTTCTGCAGTTGACTTCATTCTTATGTTCCTATTGGTATTTTAATTAATATAAAAGTGTAGCTACTTGATCTCTCCTAGGCCTACCATAGTACACATTTGTTCCATAATAGGCCTAGAAGAGCATAGTTTAGATTTTTCTTGGGCCCTTTATAATATCAAAAGTACAAAATGTGGATTTTCTTGGGCATTACAGTCCACTTTTGTACATAGCCTCCATGGCTGCTGTGTGTGTACTGTCACCTCTAGAGAATAGATTGTAACAAGAAGTGAGGAAGCAGTGTGCTGGTAATCCCTGGAGCACGTTGAACCTCAACATAGCACTTGATGATCTCTATGTGTATCTCAAACTCACTCACTCACTCTTTTTTTTACGGTGGGGAGCCCTGTTGGCTCCCTGAAGCTATCCAAAGTTATATAGTGTTATATTAGTTTGGGGCCATCAGTCACAGGAGTTCTTATGCCTACCGAGGACCACGAGCCAGAACCTGGCCTCCTCATAGAGGTGCTGGCAGTAATGGCCTATTAGCACTTTACATTTAAAGTACGGTATGTAATATTTGCCATCAACCGGGGTTGACTGTCGGGTTGAAAATTGCGAGCTACGGCCTCCAAATAGCAAGAGCACTTCCCCAAAAGAAAATCAAACAAGCAACACTTCATCCAACTAGTCCCCCACTCATTAGCACTACCCTCCCCCCATCCGCTTTGTGGGGGGGAGGGGGAGTTGGCCAGGATGAACCAGCAACCCATCAATTCAGTTCTTGAACTGATGAGCTGGCGGTCGGACGTCGCCTCTGACCTCAGTTTCCTTTGAAGGATTTTTGCTTGTGAGGCCAGTCTGGCCATTTTGTTGTGTGTTTGCCAGGTGTATTAGTGTACAGTACTGGATCTGCACATGCCTAGGGACACCTACCCCAGGTGCTTCATAAGTACTGCTCTTGTGTTTTAGGGTTATTGTGTTTCAGGGTTATCTTCCTTGTGGTTTCTGGGGCTCAGGGAGAGTCCAAGTGGAGCGCTTGGGTTCCATTTGATCCTCTTCGGGCCCTTGTGCCCTCTTTTTCAGGGGCTGCTTCTGCAGGGGAGGGGGGTTTTCGTACCCTCCTTCCCTTCATGAGTTTGAGTTGGGTGGGATTTTTCCCCCAGGTGCAGTTTCAGGTGCCTTTGGATTCCTCGTATTTGTCTTTCCGAAGGTTTTCTTCCTCTTGGATTTCTCCTGTGGAGGTTCAGGAGGCTCTTGGCGCTTACCTCCTGCAGGACCCGGGTTATGGATGAATCCGGCTTCGTTTGAGTTCGGTTTCTCTTCCCCTTTTTGGGTGCGTTACGAGTTTCAGGAATCTTCCTGGCTGGCAGACTGTCCTTTCTTTTCTCTTGGAGCTTGGCACGGTTTTTGTCATACTCGCACACTTGAGTGGCGGGAGGTTTCTACTGTGTTGCAGGTATTATTGGGTGGCTCTCTAGAGTTTCTCAATGAGTGCCTCTTTGCTCCCATGCTTCCTCGTGATATTGGTCTGAGGCAGCTTCATGCTCAGGTTCCCACTCTTTCAGCTGCTTTGGTGGCCAATGCCCTTCTGACTCGGGGGCATTTTGGCTGCGATTCTTTGGTGTTGTGGAGCTGTCTTTGAGTTGGCTTTCAGAAGATGAGGGGTCACATGGTGGAGGCCCCTCGGCAAGGGGTCTTTGTCTAGGCTGCTTTGGGTCGTCTGCCTTATTGAAGCTGTTTGCGCCGCTCCTCCAGGAGGCAGTTTCCATGGTTTTCACCTCCAGTCTTGCGTGTCAGCAGGCCGTGCTGGCTCTTTCATTGAATTCAGCATGGGCCCCCTGGCTCTTCAGGCAGTTTCACTGTTTTGTCCTTTTGTGTTTCCGGAGGACTGTTGCTCAGTTTTTGTCAGCGGCTTCTGCAAGTTGTTGTCCCATTTCTGACTTGTTGGTTCTCCAGGGTGGTTCTCGACTCTCCCGGATGAGTTGACCCAGGGCTTGGGCTGGGTGTGGTCAGGTTAGGCCTGTGATGCCAGTTTCCGAGTCAGTGCCGGTGCCTCCTTCCTCTAGTCGTTGCAGTGTTATGCTGCACAGAAGTCAAGCCCTTGAGGTTTGCATTGGTCCCTTCGTGGGTCGCCCTGTTGACAGGGCAATAGGGGAAAGGTTGGTTCTTTTTGCTCATGCCTGGTCCCACGATCCATGGACTTTTCATTTTTTTTTTTTTGCGGCCTTCGGTGGCATTGGGCAGTTCTTCCTCCCTTTGAGGGGTGCAGGCTTCTTTTTTGACCATACCTGCCTCTGCAGGCAGGGTATGGTCAAAATGACTTCATTTCTAAGGTGAGTTTCCCCACCTGTTTTCAGTTCCGAAATGGGACTGTGCAGATCTCCAGTACATTCTGGAGTTGTCTCATCTAAACTGATTGATTCCGTGCCCCTCCTTTTGGATGACTGCGTTGTCTCAAGTCCAGCTTCTTGAGCCGGGTGCGTGGATAATTTCCCTGGACCTCCAGGACACATATTGGAATGTCCTTATCCATCTGGTGTTCAGGGATTGGTTAGGTTTCATGATGGGGCAACAGCTTACTGCTTTCATTGTCTTCCCTTTGGGCTGAGTCTGGCACTTCGCATGTTCACGCGTATGACTCGGGTCTTGGTGGCCTGTCTTCATCTAGGTCTTGGTCTAGGTCTTCAGGTTTTGGCCTATCTCAACAACTGGTTGGTTTGGGCTCCCAACCAGTCTGCTAACCAAGGATCTGCTTCTTTCCCAGCTCTCCGGGTCTTGGTTCCTGGTGATCCGGTGGAAGTCCCAATTGGTTCCATCCTAGGTTCGGACTTGGCTGGGGCTTGTGTGGGATTCCCGAACGGCATCCCTTTCTCTCCATCCCACGGCCTTGCTCCAGCTGCGGTCCCGCTTTAGGAAGTTTTTGAGGGGGGGACCCATATCACTCAGCAGTTCCTCGAGCAGCTGTGTGGGAGCCTGAACTTTGCTGGTTTATCCACTGGGCAGGGTATGACTTCGGAGGCTGTTCTGGTAACTTCAGGGCAGCCTTTTTGTTGCTGCTTTCATGATCGTTGGGTTCGTTCTCCGGTGCCCTTGCGCTGGTTGCTTCATCACCGGCTTCCTCTTCAGGTTTTTCGGTGTTTGGTACCATGGCACTTTCCTCTTCCCTCGCTCGAAGTGTTCACGAACACCTCATCACTCGGTTGGGGCTTTGTGACTAGTGCTCACTAGTTAGACCAGAGGCGTTGGTAGCTGTCCTTGCGTCGGTTCACAGCATGGTGCGGGGGTTTGTGGCAGGCGCTGCATTGGATTGGGCTCCCTCGGGCCTCAATGATCTTTCTCCATTCGGACTGCAGCCCCGTGGTTCATTGTCTCGGCTGGGGGAGGGTCTCTTCAGTCCATGGCTCTTTGGGGCTGGTTGCTTTGTGTAGCTCTTCTGCTGAGTTCTTCGGGGATAGCTCTCTATGCTGTTCATGTTTGGGAAGTGTCAAACGTCCTGGCAGTTGGCCTGTCTCGCTTCATTTCTCTTTCCACATAGTCAATGCCAGTTCCTTCCTTTGACTTTGCCGGATGTACAGGCACCCGGAGGTGAACCTCTCACATTGGCATGGTTTCGGCCTCTCCCGTTGTATGTGGCGCCGTTTCCCGACTGCGAGGCCCTCACGGTGGATGCTTTTCGGCAGGACTGATCGAGGTGGGGGTTCTTGTACCTCTTTTCCCCTCGTTCAACTGTTGCTCTGGGTTCTGGCTCAGCTGGAATGCTTTCAGAGAAGAGTTCTTCTGGCTCAATGTGGCCAGTCCAGTC